CAACTAGGCACACAATAAACATACCCGTTTTCTAGTGATCAGATCTTCCTTCCCATCATACACTTCATGACATCCAAAAGTAGAAGTGCAAATACTACATAAGACAGACTACGTGTATATAAAATATATATCGCGTCATTGGGAAGTTTCCACGACCCCATCATGGATAACAACTTGTTTTTTGTTTGCCGTGACGCTGCAGGGCTACTTCCTGCTCCTTGATTAGGGGACTACCGAGTACGTGTGCTACGTTAAATTGTTATCTTTTTTTATCATCTGTAAATCTCCCTCTCCCTCTTTCTCTCTCTTCCCCCCCCCCCTCTCTCTCTCTTTCTCTCTCCCCCCCTCTCTCTCTCTCTCTCTTTCTCTCTCTCTCTCTCTCTCTCTCTCCCCCCTCTCTCTCTCTTTCTCTCTCTCTCTCTCTCTCTCTCTCCCCCCCCCCCTCTCTCTCTCCCCCCCCTCTCTCTCTGTGCGTCGTCAACAATGTAATGGACTGAGATCTATTGGCATGCTTCAAATTGGTAGAACTCGGGAAAGATCAGAACCTAGATGTTGTTCTGTATCACAACTGATTACCCCAGCAACCACACATCACGAGAATGCAATTTTCAGGCAAGTGCCATGATCATACCCCTAAGGGAGTTGCTTTAAGGGATCATAATTTTTCTTCAATTGCGCACAAACCAATTCTGGAATACGTACAATAACGTCTTTTTACGTTCACATCTAACGTTATCTGAAAGACATTCTGAAAGGACATGCGCTTTGATTCTCCTGCGTAAAATGAAAACAACATCTTTCCGCTGGTTCCAGACCTTCAAGGCTCCCTGTTCCTGTTATAATCAGCGTTATATACCACTTCTGAACACTGGCAGCGTTGTACCATGTGATGCGGAATCGGCCTTGACACAAATGAATCTATCTATACTTCTTCTTCAAGGCCTGTATGGGCGTCCTGTATTTCTGCCGGTTCCACGTTCACAACATAACGAGGAAGCATAGGGAAGGTGTGGGTTCGAATCCCGGACGTCAACCCAAAAAGGTACGAGAATCTGTACTTTACTCAGAAAGTGTTATCCTAAGTGTAACATTTGTAACGGTAGAGAAGCCAATATATGCACTTTGAAAACAGGGTGATGTGGGTGGGTGTGATGACAAAGAGCTGCGAAGAGCTGTAAGGAGCTGAGCAACGTCCACCACAGACCGAACACGTGGTGATGACCATGTGAACGTGTCTTCTGGTTGTCAAGGACAACTGCGATGAAAAACAAGTACAGAGTTTCCCTTAACTGCATGTGAATTTCTCATTTCGCCTCATCAGCTATTTTCAGCTTTTCAAAGCAAGTTATCTAATAATATTGTTTGCTAAAGTTCGAAGTGTTGTTTTATGATACACACTTTCCGCTGATCGTGTGCAGATACGCTCTACCAACGTGACATCTGGTTTGACCTTGAACAACTTAACATATTTGTTATACTCTTATTTAAGAATAATATGTCGACAAAAGGATTACATGTTGTTTAACGATTCAGTACCCAGGCGTTTGCCGCGAGATGTATGTCCAGGTTATCCGTCTACAAAAAGACATGTCAATCGTGTCGATCGTCGCTTTTTGATGTCCGTGAACTTTTGATCTATGATTTCAACTTTTGGAACAACAATAAAACAATTCATATGAACTCAAATTACAATGGTTAATGAGTCATGCAATATTTATGTTTATCTATTAAGGTTCATACACCAGTGAACTCGCGAAAAGTTAATGAGAATTCGTATGATTTATAATCACTATTTTATACCTCGAAGGATGTGTACACAACTATACAATATGCATTATTATCACTATTTTATATCTCGAAGGATGTGTACACAACTATACAATATACATTATAATCACTATTTTATATCTCGAAGGATGTGTACACAACTATACAATATGCATTACTATCACTATTTTATATCTCGAAGGATGTGTACACAACTATACAATATGCATTATAATCGCTATTTTATATCTCGAAGGATGTGTACACAACTATACAATATGCATTATTATCACTATTTTATATCTCGAAGGATGTGTACACAACTATACAATATACATTATAATCACTATTTTATACCTCGAAGGATGTGTACACAACTATACAATTTACATCCACCAGCTTCACAGGGGAATAAAATAGTTCCTCAAAAGACCGGCGCATGTTTGCTCAAATTGCTCTTCTGTAACATATTTTGTAGTTTGGTTCGTGTAAATTTCACATATATTAATGGCATATTACACTCGGAAATATATTGTAGCATGTCGTAAAATAATTCTTATTGATAACTGATAAACGCATTGCTTAAAAACATGTCATAGTATTATGATGTCATAATAGAAAGGAAAACTTTGTGTTCACTTACCACAGCAACAATAGTGTTCACTTACCACAGCAACAATACACGAGGTTCTTGCCACACAATGCCTTTCCTAATATGAACAATGACGATTGGAGTAAGAGATGATGGGGATTTTGTTTTCTCATGTTTTTTAAGGAATCATTATCAAAGCAAGAAATAGACAGTATTTATACAACATACAATAAGTATACATTCACAACGACACGTTTGCTATAAGACGTCATGTAATGGTTGAATGAAAATGTTTTCATTGCAGTTTATTTCTTCATATATCCCTGTTGCTCGACCCCATCATGTGGCTCGACCCGGGCTTACCACAATGGGCACCCAGGATGCTCCAGGAAGCGAGAAGCAGAAACTGTTTTTGAACCATATTCTTTTTTCAATAAATATTGAGAGGATTGCTTAACATGCCAAATGGTCTGAGAACCTCTCCGACACGAAAAAACTCTGAAAACAAGATATCAAAATTGCCTATTAGCAACACAGTGGGTGATAATTCAACATCATAGGCATGGTGATGTCTTATTGTCTTTTAAAGGCTAACAAGGCGTTTGGACAGTGTATAAACAATCCTAAACAGATTATACTATTGTAATGTTTAACTGTTGTATGTTTCGTTTCCAAACAATAGAGTTTTAAGATCGAACAACACAGAATAACCTACTCGCAACTCGGGATAAGTAGCAAAGGTTCGGGACAAGCATCATTCATTCACTCGAGAACTCGTCTATCACTTCCTCTTCCATTGTTGAAAACATACAATAACAACCCCAATAGCTGCATATAATTTTATAAGACAGCTACGCGATAAAGAACAATGACGAACGAAGCGTGTTTTTTTTCACGATAAACCATTGTTCTTTTATGACTTCATTTCTGGAGATTCGAATATGCGCTCACAATTTGATGACGTCATATATTTGACGACGTTGGTGTCTCGTGTGTTGTTCACTATAGATGTACCTTGGCTACGCAGATATACAACAGTGGCCGAGTGATATGACAATCGGTATTAGGAGAAAGGTACTTACAATCGACGTGAGGATTGTGAGAATATGCCGGAAAAACCAAACTTAATCCACCTGATCGTAAAATGGCCTTCCGAGTCGGATTCTATTCATCATTATTAAAATTGAGGTAAGTATTTTAAAGCTTGTACATTTTGTTAAAATCCTTAAAGAGGCTTTACATAATGTTAATATCTCATATACGAAGTAAACGACTCGCCCCTCATGGTTTATTCTCCCTGAAGTGTTTATTGTACGATAAGCAACCTCCACTCGTCATTTATTTCTTAAATACTGCTGTTGTACCCAATAACATATATATATATGTCTGCGTCATGCGAAAGTCTCCCACTTCCCTAGAGGAGTGGACATCAGGCCTGCCGCTAGTCAATGTCGCCGGACCCCACAGCCAAGCGTGTGTTTTGATTGCCGAGGTGTGAGATTCCTTGTTTGGTAACACTGCACCAACATTATGCAACGGCGTCCGGCGCGAGCACGTTGTGACAACAGCGTCCAGCTTGTGCTCACGGCGACCTCCACTGGACCAACCAACTGACCTGCAACTAGCCAGCCAATCTGTCAACAGAACAGTATACACAGGAAGGGCACAGCTTTAATATCATGTATTTAATGGCAAATTTAAACAGCCCTGGAGGGGGTATGTGCAGCTCTTCGCCCCTATATGCTGGTCGATGGTGGTGTGGTGGCATCTCACTGAGAGTAGACAAACGGTTGGTCTCCTTAACATCACATGCACCGGGCCAACCAGGCAGGGCTGCTGATGCAGGTTTTAGCGTCTATGTTCAAGGTCAAACCTGCTTTCACGTGGGTTCTGTACACAAAAACCAGTTGCTGGTTTGTGAGAAGATATTCATGATGCCAGACAATCATACTATATTTAAAAACAAAATAGGTTGCCAATGTATATATAGACATATGAGACCGCCTCATCTGTTCCATATATTGAACTATGCCTTAAGGGGGGTGGGGGTTGGGTGGGGTGGGGTGGGGTGGGGTGGGTAGGGATGGGGGGGGTCACGGGTGGCCAAGTCGTCGTAGAGTTGCGTCCCTTGGGCACGCCAGAAATCTATGATTGTGGGATCGAATCCCGGTTCGCCCCGATTATGTTTCTAGGTTTGTCAGCACCATACCCGTGCTCGTGGGTTTCACCGAAGTGGTAAACGTCTAAGACCTGCATCACTTCGGGCTTTCCTTCCATATTAAACTGACACGCCGTGATATAACTGGAATATTCAATTTGTTAAAAGCGGCGTTCAACACAACTCACTCACTCACTATGCCTAAAGATTCTGGGTGACAGTAAAGTACTCTCAGTAGTGTGGGTGCATCAACCAAGTCAGCGAGCCTGACCACCCGATCCCGATAGTCGCCTCTTACGACAAGCATAGTCGCCTTTTACGACAAGTATGGGTTGCAGAAAACCTATTCTACCCCGGATCTTCACGGGTCTGTAAGATCTGTAAGCAGACCTGACAGAATACCATCATCCACAACTGTGTGTGAATGAAACACAGTGACATGTTTGAAAGTGACGTCGCTTGTGAATAATCATTGTAAATAGCTTACAAAAAAGGGAATGGTGTCTTGGCTCGAAATGTCCTGCTTATGGTCCTTGTCGCAGCTGAGTGAGGGTGGATAGTGGGGGACTTGAACGTGTGTTTCTGTGTGGGGGACTTGAACGTATGTTTCTGTGTGAGGGACTTGAACGTATGTTTCTGTGTGGGGGACTGGAACGTATGTTTCTGTGTGGGGGACTTGAACGTATGTTTCTGTGTGAGGGACTTGAACGTGGGTTTCTGTGTGGGGGACTTGAACGTGTGTTTCTGGGTGGGGGACTTGAACGTATGTTTCTGTGTGAGGGACTTGAACGTGTGTTTCTGGGTGGGGGACTTGAACGTGTGTTTCTGTGTGGGGGACTTGAACGTATGTTTCTGTGTGAGGGACTGGAACGTGTGTTTCTGTGTGAGGGACTTGAACGTATGTTTCTGTGTGAGGGACTTGAACGTGTGTTTCTGTGTGGGGGACTTGAACGTATGTTTCTGTGTGGGGGACTTGAACGTGTGTTTCTGTGTGGGGGACTTGAACGTATGTTTCTGTGTGTTGGGGACTTGAACGTATGTTTCTGTGTGGGGGACTTGAACGTATGTTTCTGTGTGGGGGACTTGAACGTATGTTTCTGTGTGTTGGGGACTTGAACGTATGTTTCTGTGTGGGGGACTGGAACGTATGTTTCTGTGTGGGGGACTTGAACGTATGTTTCTGTGTTGGGGACTTGAACGTATGTTTCTGTGTGTTGGGGACTTGAACGTGTGTTTCTGTGTGGGGGACTTGAACGTATGTTTCTGTGTGTTGGGGACTTGAACGTATGTTTCTGTGTGGGGGACTTGAACGTGTGTTTCTGTGTGGGGGACTTGAACGTGTGTTTCTGTGTGGGGGACTTGAACGTGTGTTTCTGTGTGGGGGACTTGGACGTATGTTTCTGTGTGGGGGACTGGAACGTATGTTTCTGTGTGGGGGACTTGAACGTATGTTTCTGTGTGGGGGACTTGAACGTATGTTTCTGTGTGGGGGACTTGGACGTATGTTTCTGTGTGGGGGACTGGAACGTATGTTTCTGTGTGGGGGACTTGAACGTATGTTTCTGTGTGTTGGGGACTTGAACGTATGTTTCTGTGTGAGGGACTTGAACGTGTGTTTCTGTGTGGGGGACTTGAACGTATGTTTCTGTGTGGGGGACTTGAACGTGTGTTTCTGTGTGTTGGGGACTTGAACGTATGTTTCTGTGTGTGGGGGACTTGAACGTGTGTTTCTGTGTGGGGGACTTGAACGTATGTTTCTGTGTGTTGGGGACTTGAACGTATGTTTCTGTGTGGGGGACTTGAACGTGTGTTTCTGTGTTGGGGACTTGAACGTATGTTTCTGTGTGGGGGACTTGAACGTGTGTTTCTGTGTGGGGGACTTGAACGTATGTTTCTGTGTGTGGGGGACTTGAACGTATGTTTCTGTGTGTGGGGGACTTGAACGTGTGTTTCTGTGTGGGGGACTTGAACGTATGTTTCTGTGTGTGGGGGACTTGAACGTATGTTTCTGTGTGTGGGGGACTTGAACGTATGTTTCTGTGTGGGGGACTTGAACGTATGTTTCTGTGTTGGGGACTTGAACGTATGTTTCTGTGTGGGGGACTTGGACGTATGTTTCTGTGTGGGGGACTTGAACGTATGTTTCTGTGTGGGGGACTTGAACGTATGTTTCTGTGTTGGGGACTTGAACGTGTGTTTCTGTGTGTGGGGGACTTGAACGTATGTTTCTGTGTGTGGGGGACTGGAACGTATGTTTCTGTGTGTTGGGGACTTGAACGTATGTTTCTGTGTGGGGGACTTGAACGTATGTTTCTGTGTGGGGGACTGGAACGTATGTTTCTGTGTGGGGGACTTGAACGTATGTTTCTGTGTGTTGGGGACTTGAACGTATGTTTCTGTGTGGGGGACTTGAACGTGTGTTTCTGTGTGGGGGACTTGAACGTATGTTTCTGTGTGGGGGACTGGAACGTATGTTTCTGTGTGGGGGACTTGAACGTATGTTTCTGTGTGTTGGGGACTTGAACGTATGTTTCTGTGTGGGGGACTTGAACGTATGTTTCTGTGTGGGGGACTTGAACGTATGTTTCTGTGTGTGGGGGACTTGAACGTATGTTTCTGTGTGGGGGACTTGAACGTATGTTTCTGTGTGTGGGGGACTTGAACGTATGTTTCTGTGTGGGGGACTTGAACGTATGTTTCTGTGTGGGGGACTGGAACGTATGTTTCTGTGTGGGGGACTTGAACGTATGTTTCATGCTTTTTGTCAAATACGGTGTATGTCACATCTCGAGTTTGACAAAAAGCATGGAATAACCTCCGTATATATACCTCTGTAACAGGGGCCTATGTTTTAATGTATTCCGGTAAATTAACCGCTGTGTATTACGTTAAAACAACCTCTGTTAATGTGAACAGTCTTCAGTTGTGACTTCATGTCTTCCTTTTGTAATTTGAGGAACAGCATGAAGCACCTCTAGAATAACAGTTGCCGTAGTTGAACAATTCAAAATGTATCAACTTCGTCCGGGGATTTGAAGTAATGATGTAAATAATAATATTTCAAAGTTTATTCGAACATGTTTGATAGGAGATAAATGAGAATGTCCAAACTCGGCCCAATGTCACACGGTGACGACAAGTCACGCCACGGATTGATGCTCCTCGGGTGTGGGCTTCAGACTGAGCATATATTGAATTAATCCAGACCACCGTACTGGAGGCCACCTTACTCCAACACTGAGTCCGTTTGGAGCCATCCCGAAGAGTTGACTTGTAATTTACATGCTATTGTATCGATTTATACAATCTTATGGGAACGTAATAAGCTTAAAGCCATATTCACATTCCTATTCTTTTAAAATTATTTGTTCTAACCTCTGTACATTATCACATGTATATAAGATTCCATTTATACAAAGGCATTCTATGCCTAATCGTGCTATGTTACCCGTGCTATATTAATCACCCAGTACACGCAGCTCAGCATCAGTGACTGACAGACAAATCACAAGTTGCAATGTGTGTAGATGTTACGTGTACATGTTGATGCGTCTCATGAGTGTTTTGCAATCCTCTCACAATGACGCAGTACACCGAAACTGTAAATATTCAGGAATACACCTTCTTGTTCAGCTAGAAAACTCAAAAACCTAAAAATCGACAGAAGATTTAAAAAAATAAATTTTCAATATAATTTCAGGGAATTGGAGGACAAGAAATCTAACATTGACAGGTAAACTGACTGTTGTCCAAACCATGCCCTTGTCTACTTTAGGGCAAAACCTTTCGTTTGTTCCAAACCCTCCAAGTGAATTCACTGGAGTTTGGACCAAGCAATCCAGTGATAAAGTCTGGACCACACAATCCAATGATAGAGAATTAGGACCAAGCAATCCAGTGTTAGAGAATTAGGACTAGGCAATCAAGTGATAGAGAATTAGGACCAAGCAATCCAGTGTTGGAGAATTAGGACCAGGCAATCCAGTGATAGAGAGTTTAGACCAGACAATCCATTGGCAGAGAGTAGTTACACGCGACAGTTCAAGTGGTTCGTGTGTCGGTAGACGACATTTTAATTCTGAATTTTAAGATACATGTGTACTGACCGAGAATTTCTCCAAATTCTGGAAACTTTACATCTTTTAAAATAAGAGTAAAACAGAATCCCAGAGATGAGTTTATCTTTAAATGGAAAAGATGGGAAATTGACATGGCGAACGATCCACGAAATCTTCTTTCACTGATAATTATCTGTACTGGCAGTGGGATTATTGTTATATTAAACCTTTTATAAGAGGTAGCAGGGGTGAGAGTTGACTTTATAACAATGTGGCCATGGGGGTGGAAGGCGCAGAGAGATAAGTTATGTTTGAATAGTAACAACCTCCAAGTGGTCGCTGTTTTCTATTTTTAAATGAAATGTTCTTATTAACGATATTGTCCTACACCTCTTCCAAAACTCCATAAAACTCGTGCAAAGAGAGGGAGAGTGAGATAGTGCTGGGTGTAGCAAATATACCAACAGCAAAGAGAGGGAGAGAGAGATAGTGCTGGGTATATGAAATATACCAACAAATCCCCGAAGTGAAGATGCGCCATAATGCTTAATAGAACCCAGGAAGACTTTCAGTATATTCACAGAAAGTATTTGAGGTATTTTTTGCAATCTCAGAAGGTTTAACTATGTGAAAACATTTTTTGTTCAGCATCCCACACGACTAGTTAAACAGCTTCATTCCTTGGATCATTTGTCACTAAACGTGGTGATCACAGATAGAGTTACATTTCGTTCGTCAAAGGCTTAGGGCAACTTGAAAAGAAATCAATTCGGTTAATTATACTCAAGGCCATTGACACACTTACATAGGTACATAATGTTACAGGCAATAGAGGTAGATATCATAAATACATTGAAATTACATTGTGAAATAAGTGATTTTCTTATAAATAATGACAGTTTACAGAACTTCATTTGGTTACCTGGAATGCAGGTACGCCTTTCACACACTGAAATACAAAATGAATTGAATTGTCTTCCCTGCGAACTTTTCGCAAACGACTTATTGTGACCCCGTCCCATCAGTTCGCAGTTTAACAAAACATCCACTGACATACACGGACTTGTTGATATAAAGCACGTCATATTTTAGATACATTATTTAGGATAAACAGTTTTCATATTTCGAGCTTACATTTATCGTTGCCCACAATTCGTGACAGGAAATATTTCTTAAACTCAATTTTAATTAAATTTACAAAGTACATTTATTCAAACTCTACCAAATACCACTTTCCTTCCTGGACTAATTCTCTGATAGGTGTATCATGTCCATGTGCTTTACCTTGTTTTAATTTGTCAGTTGACGCTTAATTAAAGGTTGAATTAACCCTCCCCGTGACGTCGTTCATTTCTTCACACATTGTACTGAATGTATCATCTATATCTTCATATTCTGGAGTTCCGCATACAGAGCGCTAAAGTGTGTGGACCATGTCTCTAGTAAAATAGGACGCAAAGTTGGTTTGTATTTTCGGATTTGTTTAAGTTTCCTCAAAAAAGCTTGTAAATCATCACGTAGTATATTATCCAAATATTTAGCTGTTTTTGTTTTATAATCTACTTATTGCCTTAAACTTATTTCTAACATTCTTGTAAAGGTAGCAATTGTTAGGTGATTTATTACCTATTCATAGCGCACGTCTCTCTTCCCTTCTTGCACAGAAACCTAGGATTGTGGGTTCAAATCCCGGTTCGCCAAGATTATGTTCTAGGTTTGACAGCACCATACCCGTGCTCGTGGGTTTCACCGAAGTGGTAAACGTCTGAGACCTGCATCACTTCAGGCTTTCCTCCCACATTACGCTGACACGCCGCTATATAACTGAAGTACTGTTTAAAGCGGCGTTAAACCCAACTCACTCACTCACTCTAGCTAGTCGACTGTCATTGGCAAACCATTTATCCCTGTATTTATTTGCTATCAAAATGTTTACTGAATAATTCACCAGCGTTTGTTAGTGAACCACGGACCATATCTACAGAAATCAGAACGTTTACTACAATAATGGTTTTAACCATTTCTAGTTTGACGGAGATTCTGAAACAAAATGTAAAATGAAAACAATACGTCCAGTGCTGCACTTCCTCTTTGATACCATCTATGTGAAATTTGGGGATATGCCATTTAAGCAAGACGTGGGCATCCCCACCAACCCCAAAAATCTCTTTATACATGTGAATCGGAATTTCTGATCGGATTGGAAATGTCAAAATACATAAAGCGACAAAACCCTTTCCATATCCAATAGAAATCTCTGCATAAAGCAGTCGATTGTACAATTCCGACTACATCATGAGCATGTGTTTATGAATCACTATCAAATACTAATGATACTAGGTCTTCGCGAAAAGTGAGCGTATCCTGTCCCATCGGTGGCGGAGGAGAGTGTTTTGTCACAGCCCAGCCCATGTTTTTCCTGGATCTTGCCAATCACATTAGTGTCAAAATGGACAGAAAATTCAACAACATAAATGATTTCATTGGAATTAACAAAAAGGACAAGATTAGGTTTGTTGGCCTGGATACGTCGGAGGTTGTAAACGGGCCTATTCATAAGAATTTTGTGTGTATCATTTTCCATGACGCCCTCTACATATTCTGGGTCGTAACATGGATGGACCTGTGTGTCAAAACCACAAGCATGGCGAAGACGGTAATTAAAATGACCGAGCCACTCCATTATGTCGCTTAAGATACTGTGTTTGTGCCAAAGCTGGGCCTCTACTGACAATGTGTTGGACAGTCTCATCACACAGTGGTGGTTTTGAGTGGAAGTGACTGGTCCTGAGCAGCAAACAGAAAGCCTTCTGTTTCACTTTTCAGGCCAGCCGACTCCATCCAAGCGAAGGACTCTGCAGAGTTGCTGATCATCTCAACACACTGCACATAAACTCGATGCAGTGGTCGTTCATATAGCCTCTCCTTGAAAAACTGAGTCTGGGCCGATTTGATATGGCACATCGCTTGGTTGATACTCATTTCTGTACCGTCCAGCAGTCCTGAGCCATATAAAAATCATCATTGACTTTGAAATCATGTCCCACATCCCTCGTTCGTTAATAACTGTGGAATGCCTTGTTTTCATCATGTGTCTTGACATGCTTCACAAGAGAATCATCAGACAAATAAATGTGTGCAAAAGTGCCATTAAATTCTATCACAAGGAGCTTCCACGTTAATCAACCCACGCCCTTCTTCTAATAGTCGGAATCGACGCTTTCTTATGAATGTGGAAAGGATTTTATCGCTTTTATTAACAATTTCACATTTTCCGCTAATAACAAGTTACGTAAGTTTTTTTAAATTAAACATACTGATGTGATGTTATCCGCTTGCCTGTCTGGGATATCCCAGCCCACTGTCACCGCTACCTTGCAATACCACAGCCGGTGTATCTTAGCTTGTTTAAATCAATATTGGATTTTCACGATTCAATACATGGAACGAGATCTGGGTACACGTGCCACAGGCTCCACAAACATCTCTCCCCAAAGTTACATAATGACACAACAGGTTCTACAGAAGACACCACAGACTTATCCCCAGATTACTGCTGTCAGTGTTGATCTCCCTTCTGCATCCTTCGTTACAGCCCTGTCTCAGTACCACCTTCCAACACATCCCGTGTACATCTGTCTATCCTATTGTCTCTCAATACACTGCAACTAATACACTGCAACTAAAGCTTAAGAACACGTTGTTTATGTCACACTGGTTGTATACTTTTATGAAACTGTAAAAAATGTACGAGTATTAAAAATAATGAAAAGTGCAAATTTGAAATTGAAGGTGGTGGAAAAAGCTGCTCAAAAGACACGTCTGAACGCAACCAGAGGTTTACACACGCACGTGCATTACGTGACAAGTAACAGTGGGTAGAAACTGGTTCCATCCAGATACAACTGAAGTTGAATGTCTCATTATATGGGCGACTGTAATGCCGTTGAGTATAGTCACAGACGTGAGGGCTGACAAGGGATATTCTGAGCGTTTCGGAATTTAAAAAAAATAAATCTGTTCCAGAAAATGCTAGAAATTTGTCATAGGGATTTTCGAAAATTGAAATATTCTTCACTGCAAATGTTCTGAAACCTATAGTGCTGTAGTCCCAAAACACTTGTTCGACTCCCCCGATCATCGGAGCACTGTGTGAAACATTCTGGTTCATACACAAATCTCAGACAATTAAAAGGCCGTCCCTCACAATCTAGTGCAAGGGGCATAACTCAGCCTTGACTAGAAAGGACATTTTTGTCTTGCCTTCATTCGTTACAATCTTAATTCAAGGTTCGTATCTCAACACATAATGACATCACCGCCTTTCTAGTAGGTTTACAACTAACAAGATCACCCACAAGTTATTTAGTACGTTGTGGCACCGGGGGAGCAGGATACCTGGCATCAACACTATTTGATACTGATTCACTCACACAATCTCATAAGCCGGAATCGTACAATTAACTCTGCTTTCAGCAGATATTTCTTCTGCGTGTGGAAAGGTTTTTTAAAGTGAATTTATAACCCCAAAAGAAGACATATATATTGACTGATATGCCTTAACTTTCTACTTTTTGTGTAGAATGCCTGTGCACATCTACTGTCTGTGCACATCTACTGTATGTGCACATCTACTGTCGTCACCGCGCCACCAAGGACCAACCACGACCGTGAGACGTCACGACGCCACAGAAAAACCACCCACCACCGTGAGTCGTCACCGCGCCACCAAGGACCACTGCCCACAGTGAGTCGTCACACCACCACCAAGGACCACCCACCACCGTGAGTCGTCACCGCGCCACCAAGGACCACCCACCACCGTGAGACGTCATCACGCCACCAAGGACCACCCACCACCATTAGACGTCACCGCGCCACCAAGGACCACCCCCACCGTGAGACGTCACGACGCCACCAAGGACCACCCACCACCGTGAGACGTCATCACGCCACCAAGGACCACCCACCACCGTGAGTCGTCACCGCGCCACCAAGGACCACCCACCACCATTAGACGTCACCGCGCCACCAAGGACCACCCCCCACCGTGAGACGTCACGACGCCACCAAGGACCACCCACCACCGTGAGTCGTCACCGCGCCACCAAGGACCACCCACCACCGTGAGACGTCATCATGTCACTAAGGACCACCCACCACCGTGAAACGTCACGACGCCACCAAGGACCACCCACCACCGTGAGACGTCATCACGCCACCAAGGACCACCCACCACCGTGAGACGTCACGACGCAACCAAGGACAACCCACCACCATGAGTCGTCACCCACGCCTCCAAGGACCAACCACCATCGTGAGTCGTCACGACACCACCAAGGACCACCTCCCACTCTGAGACGTCGTCACGCCACCAAGGACCACCCACCCCAGTGAGACGTCGCGACGCCACCAAGGACCACCAGCTACCGTGATTCGTCGTCACGCCACCAAGGACCACCCACCACCGTGAGTCGTCACCTCGCCACCAAACTAGCCGCTACTACACATGACCTACACACAGGGGGATGTTGACGAGAGTTTCTGTTGAGAAGCTTGCAATGTTTATTACCTCAGGTTAATACATCGTCAGTTAATAGCGTCTTGACACCACACGGCAACATTATCCCACTCGCCAACAATAGAGCATTGACACACCACTCGGCAACACTACACCTCTCGCCAATAGGCCGGTGAGGAATGCGATCGAGTCTTTTCATGGTACGTCAAGCTCAAAATGTGTGTAAACACATTTGTGGAATTAAATAATTGACATTACATACGTGAAGCAAAATGCTAGCCTGGTTGGGCATCCCAAACATGGCTTGCTTCAGGTAATTGAGTGAGAACTGAACGTACGATGGTACTTTAAACATCTGCTCGGGCCGAAGGGGAATTAACAGCGTTCTGTATTTATGTTAGCGTGGTTGCCGTTGGCGTGGTTGATATTACCGTGGTTGCTGTTAGCGTGGTAGCTGTAACCGTGGTTAATGTTAGTGTAGTTGATGTTAGCGTGATTGCTGGTGGCGTGGTTGCTGTTAGCGTGGGTTTTTTTTTACAATGGTTGCTGTTGGCATGGTTGATGTTAGCGTGGTTAATATTACCGTGGTTGCTGTTAGAGTGGTTGCTGTTACGATGGTTGCTGTTGGCGTGGTTGATGTTATCGTGAATGCTGTTGGCGTGGTTGATGTTACCGTAATTGCGGTTGGCATGGTTAATGTCAGCGTGGTTGCTGTTAGCGTGGTTGCTGTCACCGTGGTTGATGTTGGCGTGGTTGCTGTTGGCTTGGTTGATGTTACCATGGTTGCTGTTGGCGTGGTAAGTATTACCGTTGTTGCTGTTGGCGTGGTTAATATTACCGTGGTTGCTGTTACCGTGGTTGGTGTTGGAGTGGGTGATGTTGTCGTGGTTGACGTTACCGTCGTTGCTGTTAGCGTGGTTGATGTTAGCGTGGTTAATATTACCGTGGTTGCTGTTAGAGTGGTTGCTGTGACCGTGGTTGCTGTTGGCGTGTTTGATGTGACCGTGGTTGATGTGACCGTGGTTGCTGTTACCGTTTTTGCTGTTACCATGGTTGCTGTTGGCGTGGTTGATGTTACCGTGGATGCTGTTTGCGTGGTTGATGTTACCGTAGTTGCGGTTGGCGTGGTTGATGTCAGGGTGGTTGCTGTTAGCGTGGTTGCTGTCACCGTGGTTGATGTTAGCATGGTTGCTGTTGGCTTGGTTGATGTTAGCGTGGTAGCTGTCACCGTGGTTGCTGTTGGCGTGGTTAGTATTACCGTTGTTGCTGTTAGCGCGGTTAATATTAACGTGGTTGTTGTTAGCGTGGTTGCTGTCACCGGGGTTGATGTTAGCATGGTTGCTGTTGGCTTGGTTGATGTTAGCGTGGTAGCTGTCACTGTGGTTGCTGTTGGCGTGGTTAGTATTACCGTTGTTGCTGTTAGCGCGGTTAATATTAACGTGGTTGTTGTTAGCGTGGTTGCTGTTAGTGTGGTTGTTGTTAGCGTGGTTGGTGTTACCGAGGTTGTTGTTAGCGTGGTTGCTGTTAGCGTGGTTGTTGTTAGCGTGGTTGGTGTTACCGAGGTTGTTGTTAGCGTGGTTGGTGTTACCGTGGTTGTTGTTAGCGTGGTTGGTGTTACCGTGGTTGATATCACCGTGGTTGCGGTTACCATGGGTGACAGTGGTTGCTAGGAATACAGCATTCTGGAATTTCTTTTATTAGCATGTACATACAATACGGTAGCTACTTTTAAACAGGAGTCTGAGACACAGCAAAACCTGACAAATTACAGCTCATTATCAGCTGTGACAACGGATTCACCTCCTCTTGGATGCCGAACTATTTTCCTGACGCACAATTTCAAAGATCTAAAGAGTGAACCTGTCGTGTTATAATGTCGGCACCCTTGATCTTCACACCACGGGTGAAGCGTTCAGATCCTGTTTCATATTTCTGAGAAATACTTTGTATTGTCGCATGTACTTATATACCTTGAGGCATTACCACAATTACACAGTAAAGCCCGCGGTGCACTCAGTCAGTGTATGGAGCATTGGCATTGTCCACAGAGTAGAACCAACACAGACAACATGTCGGAATACACCAGTTGCCTCGTATGTTTTTGCTTTTTTGTCGGTTAACGCCGCACTAAGCAAGATTCCAGATATATGACAACGGTCTGTAAATAATCGAGACTGGACCAGACTAACATGTGATTGATATGAGCATCGATTCACGCAACTTTGATACGATGACATGCATCAACAAAATCAACGAGCCTGACCACCCGATCCCATTAGTCGTCTCTTAGGACAAACATAGGTTGGTGAAGACCTATTCTACCCCGGATGTTCACGGGTCGTTTTGCATGTACCCGATGTACAGCACGTGTTTTCACGTCCACCTGGCACCGGGAGAGGGTAGCCCTCACAAAGAGTCCCTGCCCGGTGATTACCCTAACATAACACATGCTGTATGCCCCCAGTTGAAGCCACACAGCAAACTGCGCTACTTATCTCCTCACTAATATGTCCAACAAATACTGTTTACATTCCCGTTGACCGTCACTATACACCAGTGGGGACCCCATAGTGTGGCCGTCAATGGGAGCGGTGATTATACCCCGGGTGGCCTTCTGTCACCCCTACCCTTCAATATTGGGGAACATACACGTTTTCAGTCTGCTGTGGTCAGTGAGAGCACTTGGCGTGGCCTTTGTGAGAGATTACTGACATGAGGGAAGGGGTGGAGGCTAGAGGGTTGGTTGAGAGAGAGAGAGACAGAGAGACACAGAGAGACACAGAGACAGAGGGAGAGAGAGAGACAGAGAGAGACAGAAAGAGAGAGACAGAGACAGAGAGACACACACACAGAGAGACAGAGACACAGAGAGAGAGACAGAGAGAGTGACAGAGAGAGAGAGAGAAAGAGAGAGAGAGGAGAAGGAAGTAGCATTGAAAGGTCGCGGCAAACAATAAACCAGTTGTTATCCATGAGGCCGTGGACACTTCCCAATGACGCGATATATATTCTATCTATTCTATGTTATTTGCATTTGAGAGAGTTTTGTTAGTAGTGCTGATGTCTAACACCGATCTCATTTTTAGTGGCTCGGGACCCGGGGATTTTATCGAAAAATGTAGATTGTCCCCGATAATCTTTGAAAAAAGAAATTTTGCTTCAGACTGTTAAAAAACAAAGAAATTGCCTGCTAAAAAATGTACTATGTTGTAACTGTAAGATATTTTTTTCTTTAAGAAACTCAGGATTTGTAGCTGTAGCTGATTAATAACTAATCTCAATACAAAACACACTCAAGTACACTAAGGTATCTTCTCTAAAGATACACACGGCGCCTGACATGGTGCAGCATATAAGGATCTAGACCATCATATGTAATGATACACATTAACTACATTTATCATAGCAATGAACAATTTCCTTCTTTGTATTCTTACAATTACTAAGATAGTTTTAACAACATAATACCAAAAGCTAAGCAAAGTATCTTTCCTGCTGCGGAAATTCATTGAATTCAGTATCCAGTGTGTGTGAGTCTTGTTTCGACGCACACCCAGTCCACCATTATTGCCGTAATCGTGTCATCCGGATGAGAGCTGTTGACTGTCCACACAAAGACTGTCCCGGCGTCATTAGGTACGCTGTCATAGACAACATTCCACGTCTGTTGTACATCGTCAACAAGGGAGACACCGGCTTTCATCAGCACACGGGAACATCATGTAGATTATCTTTATGTATGTGCCCTGGCCTCGAAGCCAGAAGGTATATCTGCATCAATGATTACTCTGTTCCGCCGTTAAATCCATCTTTTCATCATACCCCCGATTTCGGTAGTTATGTGAACTGTATATTTGAATTTGCTTTGATCCGTAACTAATGACTCTGACTTGATGTCTCCGCGTCACAATGCATCGACACACAGACTGAAGTGTGGAACGGAGACAACCCTTCAGCAGTTGTCTCCCTTGGTAACGCCCATTGGCATGCTTGGGGTTTTCAAGTGAGGTGAGAAGAGGTGAGGTGAAATAGGGATTAATGTCGCGTTCAAGATTATTGAACTTACATAGCGACGTGCATGTGTCTGTGTGTGTGTGTGTGTGTGTGTGTGTGTGTGTGTGTGTGTGTGTGTGTGTGTGTGTGTGTGTCTTCTTGTACTAGTCCGGACTAATGCCGATTTTATAGTGCCAGCCCTCTGAGGTACAAGCTTAACATGAATACCCAACTCAGACACAGTATACTGACTCTTAGCCCCTTAATGCCGACCTATTAACGTCTTTTGGTATGACGCAGCCGGGGATCAAACCCCGGACCTTCCACACACATATCTTTACGGAGGCATCACAGATGGCCGGGAGCATGGGCGTATACTGACACAAGTCGACCCTCCATAAATGTGCTTTCTATTTCCTAGTCGATCTCCACCAAATGGTCGTCAAGATGACCCTGTTCAGAGATGTCAGACTGTTAAAGTTGTGTCATGAAAGTGTATTTCACTTATAGAGCTACGTGCTTGCGTGTGTGTGTGTTTGTACTAATGCCGGTTTCAAGAGGCTAGTCCGCTGAAATACCATGCCGCAGATATGGATATCGCAGTCAGGCACAGGACACTGACTCCGCGCCGACCAGTCCTTGTTTCTTGCCCTTAATGCCGACAGAGTGCCAGGCAGGGTAACACGTACCATCTTTTAACGTCTTTTGGTATAACGCGGTTTGGAATCGAACCACCGACCTTCCGCTCTCCAGGCAGACGCTCTACCACTGGACCACGGGGGCGGTTAGCGTCATGAACAGACGTTTCTTACATCTCAACCAAGTATTCAACATATTAAAGTAACGGGAGGCGTGGAAACGTTAAAGAGAGAACAATAGCAGCATTACTATACGTAAAGACTTCACTATGACGTCATCTAGAAAAAGGAGGCCGGTTATTCATTTATAATATCAGTTGCCAATGCTGGACCTTATTTGTATGGATGACTGATGATGAACTGGGAAACGCGGAACTCAGACCTTCATCCTGGTTTACATCACAGAAACTCAACAGGTCTGCCGTCTTCTTGTCTCTTTATTTGGGAAAAGTACACGCAATCGTCTATGACACTCTGCTCTATGTGAAGTATTGGTCTGCGGTTCTCTGTTTATTTAGGAATAGTTAACAAGTTAGATATATTCGTATGTAGTCAAATATTCGTCTCCCATTTCCCTACAAGTGGGATAAGGTTTCCATGTGCGTATTTCCCCAGATTTACCCAAAGTAACCATTTTCTATCTTCTACTATTTTTAGGTTTTGTCGCCTTAATCTTATTTGGAAAACTATTCACCTGTGAATTTCGTCTCCCGACAGATATAACCAACGGACCAAAGACCCAATGTGACCCTAAAACACATCGGACAGTGACTGCTGACATGATTTCAACACAATCACTTTGTCCACACCAATCCTCGGGACAAGCTTGATGTCAAGAACCATCCAGGTATTATCCAGGCTTAATCAAACGTTGGTAGGAAGACATGATTTATCTTCACATCAACACCTGAATATCGGCTTATGTCCAAACAATATCACATAACTAACATCTGGACTGGCACCTGACAGCGCTATGAAAGTACTGCAACAGGAGGTGTGGCTGTCCACTCGGGGCCAGGCCGATCAGGATACACTGCCCGCAGTACAATGTCAACTGGCCGTTTATATCTGAATCAATCTGAGTACTTAATGCATAATGTCATATTAATTGTGGTTGTTGTTACCTATTGGTCAACAAGTAGATTGTACAGGACATCAACGTAATGAATCTCTCCTGATGTCAGGTCTAAAACAGTTGGCTAGGGGGTCTGAGGTGGTCGCCGTTCGACGCAGGCATACTTTAGATTAGAGAGCGACCATCTTGCAGGCATACTTTAGATTAGAGAGCGACCATCTTGCAGGCATACTTTAGATTAGAGAGCGACCATCTTGCAGGCATACTTTAGATTAGAGAGCGACCATCTTGCAGGCATACTTTAGATTAGAGAGCGACCATCTTGCAGGCATACTTTAGATTAGAGAGCGACCATCTTGCAGGCATACTTTAGATTAGAGAGCGACCATCTTGCAGGCATACTTTAGATTAGAGAGCGACCATCTTGCAGGCATACTTTAGATTAGAGAGCGACCATCTTGCAGGCATACTTTAGATTAGAGAGCGACCATCTTGCAGGCATACTTTAGATTAGAGAGCGACCATCTTGCAGGCATACTTTAGATTAGAGAGCGACCATCTTGCAGGCATACTTTAGATTAGAGAGCGACCATCTTGCAGGCATACTTTAGATTAGAGAGCGACCATCTTGCAGGCATACTTAAGATTAGAGAGCGACCATCTTGCAGGCATACTTTAGATTAGAGAGCGACCATCTTGCAGGCATACTTAAGATTAGAGAGCGACCATCTTGCAGGCATACTTTAGATTAGAGAGCGACCATCTTGCAGGCATACTTTAGATTAGAGAGCGACCATCTTGCAGGCATACTTTAGATTAGAGAGCGACCATCTTGCAGGCATACTTTAGATTAGAGAGCGACCATCTTGCAGGCATACTTTAGATTAGAGAGCGACCATCTTGCAGGCATACTTTAGATTAGAGAGCGACCATCTTGCAGGCATACTTTAGATTAGAGAGCGACCATCTTGCAGGCATACTTTAGATTAGAGAGCGACCATCTTGCAGGCATACTTTAGATTAGAGAGCGACCATCTTGCAGGCATACTTTAGATTAGAGAGCGACCATCTTGCAGGCATACTTTAGATTAGAGAGCGACCATCTTGCAGGCATACTTAAGATTAGAGAGCGACCATCTTGCAGGCATACTTTAGATTAGAGAGCGACCATCTTGCAGGCATACTTTAGATTAGAGAGCGACCATCTTGCAGGCATACTTAAGATTAGAGAGCGACCATCTTGCAGGCATACTTTAGATTAGAGAGCGACCATCTTGCAGGCATACTTTAGATTAGAGAGCGACCATCTTGCAGGCATACTTTAGATTAGAGAGCGAATGGACCATCTTGCAGGTCCATTCACTCTTTATTTTAAAGTATGCCTGCTAGATGGTCCATTCGCTCTCAAATCCAAAATATGCCTGCAACATGATCCTTTCGGTCTCTAATCTAAAGTATGCGTGCAATTTGGTCCATTCGCTCTCTAATTTAAAGTATGCCTGCACGATGGTCTATTCATTACATAATCTAAAGTATGCCTGCAAGATGGTCCATTCGCTCTCTAATCTAAAGTATGCCTGCAAGATGGTCCATTCGCTCTCTAATCTAAAGTATGCCTGCAACATAATCCATTCGCTCTCTAATCTAAAGTATGCCTGCAAGATGGTCCATTCGCTCTCTAATCTTAAGTATGCTTGCAAAATGGTCGCTCTCTAATCTAAAGTATGTACTTTTGAGGTACAAACGAGCGTGCTCTTACTACCAAGAGTTCAAAGATCGTCTTGCTGAGGACTCAAAAGATTTCAAAATATTTATGGTGGACATGTGGAGGACATTTCCTAATTTGAAGCATGAGTGACAAAAATAATAATGTCGGATGCAATTCCTTATTTTAACTTGCATCATGTGTTCCCGTGTTTTTTCAGGTGAACAATTGGCTTGTCTTTGCATGTGTTTGTGATGGTGCCACTGGTGGAGCACCTTTTCGCGAACACCTGTTATCATCACTATTTGTTAGTGATTCATAAACACATGCTTAGGATATAGTCGGAATCGTACAATCGTCTCTGGTTTTGGCAGCGCTTTCTAAAGAATATTGAAAGGGTTTGTCGCGTGTATTTATTGCTATGCAGTCGAGCAGCTTGTGATATTGAGCGAATGGAGCATCTTGCAGGCATACTTTAGATTAGAGACACTAGTCGGAATCGTACAATCGTCTGGTTTTGGCAGAGCTTTCTTACGAATATTGCAAGGTTTTTGTCGTTTTTATTTATTGCTATGCATTCGAGCAACTTGTGATATTGACGTCCCAACCTCTATTTCCCCAAAGATTAGCATTGCGTCCAGTTGAGATTTTCACAAGGTTGCATCTGTAAGTATGAGGTTCCTGACATGCTCTCACACGTGGGCTTGCGCGCATACACGTGCACAGGTGCTGTCTAACTTGTACAAATTGTGTACGATAAGAGATCGCGTTGTGATGCTCCGCTCTTGTTTCGCTATTGGTTGTCGGTAGTATATACTTTACATCGCTACCAACTGAGTACAGGGTTCGAGTACTACCGACCCGATTATGATCCCTGGACTGCCAACATGATGTAGGTGCTTGTGGGTTAACTTGGGACTTTCTAGCCATCTAATGTGATTATTGGAACATAGAGTGATCCAGCCATTAAAACACGATACGCATATGTACTTGTGAGGGCGTGACTTCATCACGACTGACACACACATACGATAGTATCGGGATAAACCACGTGGATGATACATTTGGTTGGAATGTGAAATAGTTTTGAGATGAATCAGGTACAGAGGACGAGGTAGTAACAAGCGCTGGGTACAGCCATGTGGCGCAACGTGTTATTAATGTATCTATTCCTATTGAGGTATCTACCGAGTATATTACCAGCAAGGCTTTACGACATTCTAATTGAACAGACTAGGTAAAGAATGAAAAGAGATGCAGTGACAGCAAAGAACAGAAAAGCGAAACAGTCCTAACCATTTCAGACGCGTGTAACCACAATGTTGGCAACTGCATCCTTATTAGCCTTGCTCTATTCGTTTCCTTGTTTACTTGTGCATGACATGTCCCGGAATAACACATGTCATGCTTCTACTATGCACATCTACAGACATGGACATTCCAGGCCCCGTGTTGGAAATAACATTATTAAATGAGATCTCATTATTTATTGGTATAGATGAGATTAAGCTGGTGAGGTGAGGTGAGGTGAAATTGGGTTTAACGTCGCGTCCAAGATTATTGCACTTATATAGCGACGTGCATGCACGTGTATGTGTGTGTGGCTGCTTGTACTAGTCCGGACTGATGCCGATTTATAGTGCTAGCTCACTGAGATACCATGCCGCAGTTTAACATGAATACCCCACTCAGACACAGTATACTGACTCCGAGCCGACCAGTCCTTGTTTTAGCCCCTTAATGCCGAGCGCCAGACAGGGTAACAACAAGTACAATCTTTTAACGTCTTTTTGTATGACGCGGCCCGGGATCGAACCCTGGACCTTCCGCTCTCCGGGCGGACGCTCTACCACAAGACCACGGAGGCGGTCGAGATTAAGCTGGTATTCGTTGATGAAATAACGTGGCACTTCAGTCTACCTGGACTTAAGGGTTAAACAACTCATAGAAAAACTGTTTCCTATACGAAGAATGACCTGAGAAAAGTTTTGATATGATTTGTTCATTTTATCTGTTTCTTTTCGGAATGTGTTCAGTGCATTTATTCTGAAGATATATATGCCTGATGACGTTATAAATGTACACATGCATCAGGTTGGGAATAAAGACATTCATTCTTGAGCTTGGGAAACGAAATACATACTGACATTTTATGTCCTGGGCCAGAAGAAGCCAGTGTTGTAAATATATATTGCTGTAACTAACACCGAACTGACCGGAAGAAGCCAGTGTTGTAAATATATATTGCTGTGACTAACACCGAACTGACCAGAAGAAGCCAGTGTTGTAAATATATATTGCTGTGACTAACACCGAACTGACCGGAAGAAGCCAGTGTTGGAAATATATATTGCTGTAACTAACAAAGAACTGACAGAACAAAAGCCAGTGATGTAAGTATATATTGCTGTGACTAACACCTTACTTGACCGGAAGAAGCCAGTGTTGTAAATATATATTGCTGTGACTAACACCGAACTGACCGGAAGAAGCCAGTGTTGTAAACATACATTGCTGTAACTAACACCGAACTGACCGGAAGAAGCCAGTGTTGTAAATATATATTGCTGTGACATGTTACGCAGTGTAAAGATATGAGGTGACTCTAAATCGGGAAAACAACGCACACGACGTGAAGAAGCCATGAAACATTGGATGAGGCTTTCAGTGTGTGTCTTAGACACGTATGGCCATCGGCTATGATTCCATACAGAAACTGAAAAAATGTGTCCTTCATTCCACTCAGTGTGCTGACCAATGATATGATAACTGCAATACTGATAGTTGTCACGCCCGCTGCCTCGTGGGGACAATGGTTCCCAGGACCCTATGCTGTTAGTAAGAGTCGACAAAAGCGGATCGGGTGGCCGTGTTTGTCGACTTGGGTGATTGTGTGTCATCGTGCTGAAACGGCGTGGACAGTTGTTCATGCATCCAGTCACTGGTTCAGGTGCCATTATCTATAGATGAGCCGGGTAATTGTGGAATATGGCGCTAGGCAACATTCACTCACTCACTCACTCACTCACTCACTCATGCGGCACAAAGGCAGGTTCATTGTTGTTCCTGTTGCTTCATCTGGTCATGTCACTGACTACTCAAAAAAGTTAAGGAACACCCTTATTATTTTGAATTATGCCTCTTGTCACTCAAACGTGAATGGGTACCAGGTAGGATATGTGATGGTTGTGTTTCAACGTTTCACCGCCAAATAGACGGCTGGGTTGTATAGTCCCCAGGGAGCTGAGAAAGAAAATCGAGAGCACACTCATTACGTCATAAAGGTATCAGGGCTTTGAGCAAATATCCATGTTATATTTTTTTCTTACATGAAAGTAATGACTACTTTTGAGATGTTGCCTGATGTAACAGATGCTGTACAGAATGACAAGGATATGGATATGGAAATAGGTGGAACAGGAGGACTTGCATTTCAACATTCAACATTTGGCATCAAACAAAATCGATATAACGGAGTTTTGTGCTTGTGTTGATTTTGAGAAAAGGGTAAAATGATAGATTAACCAGGCACATATGTCTACCTACATATATATTGACAGAGGAACCGTAGATATCACCTTACAGAGTCTAGGACGGTAAATTACACCTTCAATACGATGTATTATAAATATGTTTGATAGATGTTATAAACGTAGTGATATTTTAAAATTAGCTATCTTTTTCGGGAATTAAAACAATCAAGGTACATATAAACCACTCTCCTACATGGCCCACGAGCATGCGACCTAAGCAGGCACAGACACCTGCCTGTGCGTTGATCTGGTTCCGGCTGAAGGCTTCTAGGCTTGTATTATCTGACTGTTGACAGGCGTCAGTGTGGGGGTATTAGGGCCACAATGAGGGTTCAGTCAATGGAGGTAAGACGGATTACAGGGTTCCGCCTTCACCGCTCCGCTGATCGCGTCTCATCACAAGGGGCAGGAACATCGTTAGAAAACACATACATATTTGATGGGCAGCCGACGGATGGCATACACATCATAGGCTTCAGCCTGGCAATAGGTAGGTACAAGTCATCATTTATTTTCACAACATATTGCTTGTAATATCTACAATTTCGCAAAGACACTTTTTAAATATTTTCTTAAAAATGTTAAAAAGCTTGTTCACATGTTGGCCACACAATAAGACCCTATATCCAGCCGGTCTTTCTGCAGCGTCATGGATGGCAATGTCTGATGGCTGCGTCATGTAAGGCGATGTCTGATGGCTGCGTCACGGAAGCGTGCCTGGCGCACCGGTTTTGCTCATTGAGAATAGAATATCAAACTGACTCAATGAGAATAGTTTCTGACTCTATTCCGACGAATATCCACCTATGACACACTTTTATGTAAGCTGTATGTACGGCATGTGACACCCCCCCCCCCCCCCCCCCCCCCCCCCCCCCCCACACACACACACAATGTCACCCCCCTCCACACAAACACACACACATCCCCCCCCAAGCGCACCAGCATGTGTGTAAGTAATAAGATAGAATTTGAGTTTTTTTAAATGGCTACAATGATGGCAATTCATAAAATCGGATTTTCAGTTCATATACAGAATTTATCAGCTTCATGACCCCGTGATATCAAGAAGGGAACATGACTTTTTCAACATAATGTCCGCGGCGATCATGCCTGAATCAAATAGGAATTCTTGCCATAAAAAAATGTAAAGAAAGCATTAATGAAGAAAAAAGTTCAGAACATCGAACGTTAAAGCATAGAGAATATTACCGTGGAGGATTAAAATATCTCCAAAGACACTGACAATAAAAGTGTGCCTTACAAGTTTTCTCATCGACTAGAAACCCATCACATCCTTCCTTCATATAACTGAAGTATTCTGATGGTGACCAGCCTGTTTCACTAATCAACAGTAAACAAATAAACAAACGTATAACGATAAACACAGTCATCAACGTTACACAACTACAACATCGGTTTCTCGAGTTCTACATTCCAGGCAGTTCCATCAGCTAATTACTCTCTCCACCTGACTTTACAAAGCACCCTCCGGGGTAGGATAGCAGAGTTGTTGTAAAAGTTGGAATCGTCAAACGCTCATGAACTAGGGTTGAACACCGTCCCCGCACTGTGACATACCATCAGTGTTGAACACCAACCCCACACTGTGACATACCATCAGTGTTGAACACCAACCCCACACTGTGACATTCCATCAGTGTTGAACACCGACCTTGTACTGGGACATACCATCAGTGTTGAACACAGACCTTGTACTGTGACATACCATCGGTGTTGAACACCAACCCCACACTGTGACATCCCATCAGTGTTGAACACCAACCCCGCACCGTGACATGCCATCAGTGATGAACACCGATCCCACACCATGACATGCCATCAGTGTTGAACACCAACCCCGCACTGTGACATGCCATCAGTGTTGAACACCAAACCCCACACTGTGACATGTCATCAGTGTTGAACACCAACCCCGCACTGTGACATGCCATCAGTGTTGAACACCAACCCCGCACTGTGACATGCCATCAGTGTTGAACACCAACCCCACACCGTGACATGCCACCAGTGTTGAACACCAACACCGCACCGTGACATGCCATCAGTGTTGAACACCAACCCCACACTGTGACATACCATCAGTGTTGAACACCAATCCCACACTGTGACATACCATCAGTGTTGAACACCAATCCCACACTGTGACATGTCATCAGTGTTGAACACCAACCCCGCACTGTGACATGCCATCAGTGTTGAACACCAACCCCACACTGTGACATGCCATCAGTGTTGAACACCAATCCCGCACTGTGACATTCCATCAGTGTTGAACACCAACACCGCACCGTGACATGCCAACAGTGTTGAACACCAACCCCACACTGTGACATTCCATCAGTGTTGAACACCAACCCCGCACCGAGACATGCCATCAGTGTTGAACACCAACCCCGCACTGTGACATGCCATCAGTGTTGAACACCAACCCCACACCGAGACATGCCATCAGTGTTGAACACCAACCCCACACTGTGACATGCCATCAGTGTTGAACACCAATCCCACACTGTGACATTCCATCAGTGTTGAACACCAACACCGCACCGTGACATGCCATCAGGGTTGAACACCAACCCCACACTGTGACATGCCATCAGTGTTGAACACCAACCCCGCACCGAGACATGCCATCAGTGTTGAACACCAACCCCGCACTGTGACATCCCATCAGTGTTGAACACCAACCCCACACTGTGACATGCCATCAGTGTTGAACACCAACCCCACACCGAGACATGCCATCAGTGTTGAACACCAACCCCGCACTGTGACATGCCATCAGTGTTGAACACCAACCCCACACTGTGACATTCCATCAGTGTTGAACACCAACACCGCACTGTGACATGCCATCAGTGTTGAACACCAACCCCGCACTGTGACATTCAATCAGTGTTGAACACCAACCCCACACCGAGACATACCATCAGTGTTGAACACCAACCCCACACCGAGACATACCATCAGTGTTGAACACCAACCCAACACCGAGACATGCCATCAGTGTTGAACACCAACCCCGCACTGTGACATGCCATCAGTGTTGAATACCAACCCTGCACTGTGACATGCCATCAGTGTTGAACACCAACCCCGCACTGTGACATGCCATCAGTGTTGAACACCAACCCCACACCGAGACATACCATCAGTGTTGAACACCAACCCCACACCGAGACATGCCATCAGTGTTGAACACCAACCCCACACCTCGACATACCATCAGTGTTGAACACCAACCCCGCAACGTGACATGCCATCAGTGTTGAACACCAACCCCACACCGAGACATACCATCAGTGTTGAACACCAACCCCACACCGAGACATGCCATCAGTGTTGAACACCAACCCCGCACTGTGACATCCCATCAGTGTTGAACACCAACCCCGCACTGTGACATGCCATCAGTGTTGAACACCAACCCCACACCGAGACATGCCATCAGTGTTGAACACCAACCCCACACCTCGACATGCCATCATTGTTGAACACCAACCCCGCACTGTGACATGCCATCAGTGTTGAACACCAACCCCACACCGAGACATACCATCAGTGTTGAACACCAACCCCACACCGAGACATGCCATCAGTGTTGAACACCAACCCCACACCGAGACATACCATCAGTGTTGAACACCAACCCCACACCGAGACATGCCATCAGTGTTGAACACCAACCCCACACTGTGACATGCCATCAGTGTTGAACACCAACCCCGCACTGTGACATGCCATCAGTGTTGAACACCAACCCCGCACTGTGACATGCCATCAGTGTTGAACACCAACCCCGCACTGTGACATTCCATCAGTGTTGAACACCAACCCCGCACTGTGACATTCCATCAGTGTTGAACACCAACACCGCACCGTGACATGCCATCAGTGTTGAACACCAACCCCGCACTGTGACATACCATCAGTGTTGAACACCAACCCCGCACTGTGACATTCCATCAGTGTTGAACACCAACACCGCACCGTGACATGCCATCAGTGTTGAACACCAACACCGCACCGTGACATCCCATCAGTGTTGAACACCGTCCCCGCACTGTGACATGCCATCAGTGTTGAACACCAACCCCGCACTGTGACATGCCATCAGTGTTGAACACCGTCCCCGCACTGTGACATTCCATCAGTGTTGAACACCAACCCCACACTGTGACATGCCATCAGTGTTGAACACCAACCCCGCACTGTGACATTCCATCAGTGTTGAACACCAACACCGCACCGTGACATTCCATCAGTGTTGAACATCAACCCCACACTGTGACATTCCATCAGTGTTGAACACCAACCCCACACTGTGACATGCCATCAGTGTTGAACATCAACCCCACACTGTGACATTCCATCAGTGTTGAACACCAACCCCACACTGTGACATGCCATCAGTGTTGAACACCAACCCCGCACTGTGACATGCCATCAGTGTTGAACACCAACACCGCACCGTGACATGCCATCAGTGTTGAACACCAACACCGCACCGTGACATTCCATCAGTGTTGAACACCAACCCCGCACTGTGACATGCCATCAGTGTTGAACACCAACACCGCACCGTGACATTCCATCAGTGTTGAACACCAACCTCCCACTGTGACATGCCATCAGTGTTGAACACCAACCCCACACTGTGACATCCCATCAGTGTTGAACACCAACCTCCCACTGTGACATGCCATCAGTGTTGAACACCAACCCCGCACTGTGACATTCCATCAGTGTTGAACACCAACCTCCCACTGTGACATTCCATCAGTGTTGAACACCAACCCCGCACTGTGACATTCCATCAGTGTTGAACACCAACCCCACACTGTGACATGCCATCAGTGTTGAACACTAACCCCACACTGTGACATCCCATCAGTGTTGAACACCAACCCCACACTGAGACATCCCATCAGTGTTGAACACCAACCCCGCACTGTGACATCCCATCAGTGTTGAACACCAATCCCACACTGTGACATGCCATCAGTGTTGAACACCAACCCCACACTGTGACATCCCATCAGTGTTGAACACCAACCCCACACTGTGACATGCCATCAGTGTTGAACACCAACCCCACACTGTGACATGCCATCAGTGTTGAACACCAACCCCACACTGTGACATCCCATCAGTGTTGAACATTAACCCCACACTGTGACATCCCATCAGTGTTGAACACCAACCCCACACTGTGACATGCCATCAGTGTTGAACACCAACCCCACACTGCGACATCCCATCAGTGTTGAACATTAACCCCACACTGTGACATCCCATCAGTGTTGAACACCAACCCCACACTGTGACGTGCCATCAGTGTTGAACACCAAACCCGCACTGTCACATGCCATCAGTGTTGAACACCAACCCCGCACCTTGACATCCATCTTCTGCAATGTCCCCGCCCGTCACATTCCTTTAAACATTAGTAAGACTTGCTCAGAC